AAAAAAGTTATAGTTCCTTTTCTATAAGCAGACAAAGCGTTCATAGGAAGAATCATCAAAAGATTTTATAAAATAATACAGAGAGGAGGTATTTATAAGAGTATATGTTATGACATATACAATGTAACTACTCAGCCTAGAAATTAGCTTATGGCTTTATCCCAAAAACTTAGTGACAGACAGGAGCATCTTAAGTCCCACTGCCTTCTTTATATCCTTCAAATATTTTGGGGGCATGAAAACCTTAAGATAATAAGTTGTGGTGTTAATCATTAATGCTACAGGAGCTACCTAAGAGAGACTTGAGGAAAACTTCTGATGGAGAAGTTTATTTGGTGCAACACAGTAAATCTTTTACCATGTACTGGAAAATGCAGGCAATTATAGGTAAATATGTAAATGGTTCTGACTACTTCTTTGAAGCTGCTCTGTAATAGATACCATGAAACCACATGCTTCTCACCTTCATTCAGGCAGGAAAATTCTAATCATCCCATGATGAGATATAGGTATCATCACGTGAGGGGGAAAAAAAAGCATTCTAATCACTAAAACTACTTCTACCAGTCAGGCTGGTTTGTAGGACCTGTGTTTTATTAATTGTCAATCACAAAATTCACCGTTCTCTCTGCTGAGAACTCTGGTGCTAGATTTTCCATATAGATCTCAGCTCAAAATGCACTTCTCAGAGAGACTTTCTTCTCTGACTTTCTTCTCCTAGGTACAAAAGTCACCAACCTGACTACTATCTCCAATCAGTATCATTCCTATTGCCCTGCCTATCACTGATGAGTTATAGTATCTTACTAGTCATTGGCTTGATTACTGACTCTCTTCCCTCACGTGAATACACACACCATGAGGACTGAGACACTCACTGTTCATTCTGTTCCCTTGTCCCTGGTGCCTAGAAGAATGCCTGGCATATAGTAAAAGTTCAATAAATATTTAAAATAAACAAATTAATCCAGATAGGGAAGTGTAAGTGATGAAGTGGATTCTGGTCACTCCTATGGGCGCACTCCCCTTTTCCTTGGGGATTCTCACTTTAATTTCTACTACCCCAGGATACATAGTGTTAGGTTTAAAACTCCAGCTCTGATTCGGAGAAAAAAATCAAAAATAATCTTTCCAATTTTACCCTTTAGCACTGCAACACAAAGGAACCATTTTTTAAAGTTCTTTTTCTAAATACACAGGAATAACAAAAAAAGATTCATTACAGAATCACACGTATTCACCTCAAAGGGTTGGTGATCACCATCTCCTTACCTTTCTTTGAGCCCTCCTAGCTACCTATGTCTCTAATGTGGAAGTGCTATTATAAAACCTACTACATGGAAACTCTCATCCAACTAACTTGGGAGGGAGGAAAAGAAAGGGAAGGAAGGAAAGGAATGAAGGACAGAAAATGACCAGGTTCTAACTGTGCTGTTTCCAAACGATCCTGATTGCCAGTTCTGGGTTCCAGTGTGAGACAGCATCCCAGCCATCTCTTGTCACTCACCTTCCTGGTGTTTTCCTCTTTACCAAGTACTACAAGTCATGCCATTTCCTACCTCCAATTTTTTGCTAATAGAGTGCCCTCCTCCAACCTTTGCCTGGCTAAGATGTCCAACTCACCTTTTAAAAGTTAGCTGAGGAGTTACCTCTCCCAGGAAGGTGTCCCTAGTTTTCCCAGGATAAGACTTCAGAATAAAACCAAATTAAATTTAGGCTACAAAATAGTATCTCAATTCTCTTTCCTGCAGATGCAGTCTTTCCAGATTGTGTACATAAAATAAAATCTATTTATTACCTGTTATTACATTTATATCTGGGTACTGGTTTTCACACAGAACAACAGCTTTGCTATCCCTCTCAAAAGCCTCTCGAAGTTCTTTCTTGACTGCTGCCGACCCACATAATCGGTACAGGCCTACTACCTAGAAATAAAATTATGGCCACATTATGGTAAATTTGATAAAGAGAAAATATAATAGTACAGTATGCATAAATCACATGAACGTGGTAATCAAATATGTTCTGATGGCATTTAATCAAAAATATCTTAAAGACAGCTTTTAAAATTTCACCGTAGACTATATTGATTAGTTTAATAAAAACATTCTATTCTTTCATTTAAATTCAAACAATATACTATGATTTCTATAGTGCTGGTTATCTTACCTTAAGAAAAGATACAATCCCTTCCCTTTAGTTTTATATGCTCAACCAACATCTCCATGCCCCAAGGTCATGGCCCTTTCACATCTTTTGCTCTAGACTGAAATATTACATACAGCACAGTGGTTAAACAAGGGTTTTGAATTCATAAAGCCTCACTTTATAATTCCTTCCTTGGTGAATTTGGTCAAGTTATTTAATCTCTTTAAAACTCAGTTTATTTATCCATAAAAAAGTATATAATTGAAATAAGATTCCAATATACTATTTGTATAAAATTATCTTTTAAGGAAAAAACATTCTCAGGAAGAAATAAAAGCAAAGCTAGGATTTTTTTTTAACATATCAAGTTAATTGACTATAAAATGATGGAGGAAATTCAATTAAAATAACATATAAAAGGTTAAAAAAAACCCTCTAATTCAAAAGGTATATAAGATGTAGATACCCCCATCCTCTCCTCAATCTAGATTTTAAAAATTTGTTTTTTAAACACTGTTAGTTCACACAAGTTCTAAAATATTAAGTCTTAAGAAGTTCACTATAAATTCACTGAGAGGAAATCAACATGGTTTTTGTAAAGAGAAAGCATGCCTGATTGAGCAATTGAAGTTTTTTAAAAGAATAAAACTTCAAGAAAACTAAGGAAAATAAGTGGTTGGCACCTATACTTCCACCACATCAAAGACTATTTAGCAACTTCAATCACCTTGAATTGAAGAAGTTATGAATAAAGAAATTATCAAGACAGAAATAAAGCAAAAACAAACAATGGAGACCCCCATGAATTTGGACTAGGAATCACTTTAAAATGTTATAAATGACCTACAGGAAGGAGTACGCAAATGAAATTTCCAGGTTTACCTAAGACACTAACCTCTTCTAATTAACTGATAGAATACACTACAGAAAGTGGGTCTCAATAGGAAAATATCAGTAATGGGTACAAAGAAATGTTATCCAAAATATTTAGAATGATAAGCTAGTAAGTATTAACTAAGAGAGGGTAATGCAAGTTGCTGTTATATTTAAAAGGATCAACGTAATATGGGAAACGAAGTAATGTACTGGGAAGAAACTTCAAATTTCCTTCTCTTATCCACATGCATGGTGCAGTCGCACTTAGAATAGCATGTGCTATGCTGGTCACATCATTTCAAGAAAGACATGACACAACTGTAGATGGATAGAACAGAAAATGAAACTAAAATATTAAACAGGATCAAAGGAAATGTCATTACATTAGAAGAAACTAACTTGAATAGAGCCCTTCTTGTGTAGGCACAGTTAAGTGTCACAAAATCCCATAAAGATCTGTATCCCCTTGAACTTGAGAAGGAGATGAACCTAAAATAAAGAAAGTAATACTTCAATAGTAAGTAATAAATTAATGGAACACGTTATCCCAAAAGCTGAAATTACAAACATACTTTTAAAGGTGAATAAAAGAAAAAAAAGTCTAATATAGATATTTCAAGGAAAAGCTATTTTAGAATATATCCCTAACTTCAGAGGCCGACTTCTTGAATCAAACATTGAAGTACGTGCTTGATACCTCTATCACAGATGGAATAGGTACTAGATGGACCATGAGTATGATTTCTATAGTAATATTCCCATTGGAAGCAAGAGATGGGTAATAGTAGCCTTCAAAGCATTTGAAAGATGCCATAAACTATTTTTGAGTGACTATCAAAACCTGACTTTCATGGTGAAAAAACGAGACTATTTGCTGGCTAAAAAGATAAACAAAATTTAAACAGTAAGCTAGTCCATAAAATGCAGACAGAATAAGTCTCTTTCTGTGAGATGGGGGTAAAACAAAACAGACAAAACAAGAATAAGGTATTTAAAAAGTATAGTTCCAGGGCTGGCCGAGTGGCTCAGTTGGTTAAGAGCTCGCTCAAGAGTGTGAGCTCTGAGCAACAGCAGTTTGATTCCTGGCCCGAGCTGAGCTGCCGCTGAGCTGCCAACTGGTGGCAGGATGACTCAGCTAAAAAAAGAAAGTACAGTTCCAAATGTTAAATTCTAAAATTTACTTTTTAGTTCATAGAAAATAATTTTTATTAAATTAAGTCTCTCTGAACTTTAAGTATAAAACTAAAAAGCACTGCTAAAAATGCTTTCTTGGGATTTAAAATAAATTAAAACAATCTCATACACCTGCTCTTTATAAAATATTTCAGAAAATAGACTATAGAAGTACAGTGCTATTTAAGTTACTTATTTTAATATTCAATTGTAAAAAGTTTCTGTTTAATAATTAGCTTTGAAGTCTGCCTAATCTCTCTAACCTCTACATGCTGCCTGAAAAAAAAATGGAGGAAAAACAGAGAAACTTAAGAAAAAAGTAGCTGGACCAAAAGTTGGATTGGAAACTAAAGGCCGCACGCCCACACTGGCAACATAAACCCAGCTTGAAAGATAAGATACCCGAGAAGAGGTTTCCAAAGTTCAGATGTCCTACCTTTTAGCTTCAGGGAGCTACTGCATCTATTTTTGTAGAAATAAGCAAATAATAAGACCCAAAGAGATTTAAGTGACTTGCCCAACATCACACAGCTAATAATGGAAGAGAAACCAGAATCCGTTTCCTGCATCTTAATACAAAAGTCCACAAACTTATGCTGTTGCTATGGTTTCCATGTTAAGTTCATGGTGGGTTATTTTAAAGTCCTTTCTACATATAAAGAAATCATATGTCAGATTTTGTGATATTTACCTTTGATGCTTTTAATCAATGTTACAAATTCTCATAGCACTAAAGCAGAAATACCTCAGAACATAATGATTTTCCAGTTTGTGTTGCAAAAATGAGTATAAATAATTTCTTGTACCTCAGAATAATATCCTCAATGATATGCTGTTTCTCACTGTCACAGTCTCCATGTATTAATGAAAATGAGGAAAAGATGAGTTCTACTAACTGGTTAACATTTATGCATCTTGATACAAATAGCACCAGGTTATTTGTTTAATGGGTTGCTTTTACCTTTTTATTTAAAGGAAAAGAGAATGAAATGTGTTTTTATCAGTAGGAGCTCTCCTCATCGCCCATGCTATCTCAAAGTTAAGAGACAGATAAGCTTATGCTTTCCAAAGAGTGGGACTGAGCAAGGGTAGGGAATAAGAGCAGGGGGTTAATTTTAGGAGTGAAGTAGGGTTGTAGGATTCACTGTTAGAACTTTCTACCTGAGGAATCAAACCATGGATAAACATTCCTTAAATTAGTTAATTATTTGCCTATGTTATCAGCTCTGGCTTATCCTAGGAATGACACTGTAAAGCAATTTTGATCTCTAGGTACAAGGCCCATGCAGCTGTGCATCACAGCATAAACTGTGGACCGATCCATGTTCTCAGTCATTGACAACATAGGGTAAGGCATGAATTATACCCTAAACAGTAATGGAATAAAAATAAAGAATAGGCAAGAGAAATGTCTAAATTAGATTTTTTTTTGCCTTACCTTTAATTCCTTCCCTCAAGACTTATTGTATATAAGTTTAATTAACTGATTGATTAATTTATTTAGATAGATAAGGGGGTAGTAGAGAAACAGTGAAGTAATACCTGACAGCCTCTTTTTACAATTTCCATAATACATTTCTGTATCAGAAGTGGCACCATCAATCCCGTATTTTCTTTCTCTACAACTTTTCGAATATCAACACCAAACATTACTGGTTCTCGATTTATATCTAGTCCATGAAGAGAATTCTCCCACTGTTCCAAAAGAGTCACTTTCACATAAATAAGACCTCTAGGTTCAAGTTTGACAGCCAATTGATGTGTCTTTGTCACTCTGAATAAGGTGGGGAGAACAACAGTTCCATGACAACACACTCGATTTTTTCTTGGAGTGGGTTCCCAACTGAATACTACTAATTTCAAATGCTGAGCATTTTCAATTTCTATGTTGAAAGTGTGATCCATGTCTAAAAATGTCGTACGACATGTGAGCAAAGCAGTCCTTGCTTTGTTTACTGAATCTACCTGAATTGCACAAAAGATATCTTTTGAATCTATCCGAGGTGGTTTTAAATCCTCAGCACCATAGAAATGCACACTCATGAGCCCAGATATGTACTGTGAACACTTAGGTTGATCAGAAAAACTGTAATGTCTAAAAGCATCAATGTCAATTTCATGCTTGCTACAACTGTTTGAAATTATTTCTTTTCCCTTTCCAAATTTGTTTTCAGATCCATGTTTGCTAGATTTAGTTATAAGTTCAGGCGAATCTCCATCACTGAGGTAACCACCTTTGCAGGAATACTTAGAACTCGTAGAAGTTTTCTTCTGGTAGCTGTGTTGAGAAGAAACACTGGTGTCAAGATGGTACCGACTTATAACATTCCTCTTAGCAGCTGTGGTTGTGCTCCCAGAAGGGAGAATAACAGTATGATGCATTCCTTGACAGTTACATTTAGACAAGGAAGGAGTACTATCTGGACTGTTTACAAAATTCAAGGTTCCTTTAACACTCAGTTTTCGGCTAAGTTCTGGCAACCTTTTCATTTTCATGGAAAGTTTCCTCACAGTTCTTGGAGATTTTATTTTATCCGGGAAAGACCAATTAATTGAACTGCCTTTTTTCACAGGGCTAGGGCTTGGGGAAGACGGTTCTATAATTCCCAATTCAGTCTTATTTGTAGCAGCTAGGATTCCAGGACCTTAAAAAAAAAAAAAAAAGATATTATACGGCAAGATGTTTTGATTCCTATTTTGATTCCTAATTTATAAACCACTAACTTAACAAGCTTTCACGTGAACAGAAATTCTTCCCTTGTCTCATCTCAATGGGGAGATTTAGTTATATGTTTAGGTGAATCTTCATTACCATGTTCAAGCAGAATAACAAGGGTCTCCAAATGGCTTACAAGGAAAGAAGCATCTTCCTCTCCATCTGCTTCTCTATCCTGAGGCCTTGGAGGAAGGGTAACATAGGTTTATTTTAGATCTTTCCCACTGCAATATACTTCAGTGAGTATGTTATTCTATAACTATAAAGGGTGTATATCAGAGGAAACTAGGAAAGCTTCTTATTTTAATATATTAAAACATTTATTTTAGGGCCGGCTGAGCTGGCTGGTTAAGAACTGGCTTCAGATGCCAGAGGGCCCCGGTTCGGATCCCACATATGAGGGCCAGTGACACTGCCCTCTACAGCTAAGATGCTGAACAGCTCAACCTGGAGCTGGGCTGCCGTGAGTCGCCGGCGACAGTGTAGGCTGCAGCCCCTGCTGCAGTGGGCTGCCATGGGCTACTGTGTGTAGCCAGCAGCCGCAGTGAGCGGCCGTCCAGAAGCCGGCGACTGATCTTCCTCGCCCGGGAAGAGCGCAATGATGGTGCCAACTTGGGCCAGTGAAGCAACATCCTCCACAACTAGACTGAAGAACAAAATGGATAGCAACTTGTCTGTTCCCCTTCTCCAATTCCCCAGCACTGCTCCCATTACCCCAATTCCCCAATAAAAATCTTTAAAAAAAAATTTATTTTAACATATTTCCTATTTTGATATGTTTATTTAGAAATCTTACACTAATATAAGAATGTTACTTCTATAATTATAATCCTCTAAAATCTAAATTTTATCACAGCAGTGCTAGTTAAAAAAGAAATTAAAAACAAAACAAGTTTATAATTTTGACAACTAAGAACCCCCTCCTTGTTCTAAAATTCTATTAGAAGATATCAGCAAAGGTTATATAGAATGAACTCTAGTCAGTCAAAAACTGAATATTGAATATCATAAATCTAACTGAATAATTTTCAAAACTGTATATTTTCTTTCTTGTATTGTTTCTATACACTAATTCCTTAGAACTTCAAAAGCTAAATTAGGGCCTTTCTTTGCAATTTCAACATAGTCAACAGACAACACAGAGATATGAATAAGTTTTTTTATAATTTTAATTTTTCATAAAGAGTAAATATTGAAATGGTTTTAAATTTTTCTCCACATAAAAATAGCTTTATTTTTTTCTGAATGTCAAAATTATCCAGGTTTACAATAAAAAGTTTTAAAAAGATACAAAAAAGTACAAGTAAATAACAACTTAAACTGTACTACCATGAGATTAATCATGGTAAATATTGAGGTTAAAATAATATTAAAAGTAGTTTAATATGAAATTAATATTTAATTATCATTAAAAATAATACCAGCCAACATTTATTGAGCTAGGTAAAATATGAAAAATTAATTTAATACTTAGTATGCACAGACCCTCACTTAATTCTCATAATAA